ATAAATAAATAAACTTAAAAAAAGTTGAAGAGTTGCAGTTGAACCCTAAAGTGACTCTTGGGCTGAATTAATGGAGGATTATAATGAGGAACATGTAAAACTGTATACTTGGTGTGTTCTGTGGGAGGAAGATTGAAAACATTGAGCCCAGTCCTGGGATTATGGCACAAACTGAACATATTCAGGGTATCACGACCAGAGGGAGGAAGGGTCTGGAAACCATGTTTGCAGTGCCACTTAAGGGAAGGGGTGTATTATCAAAGGGAATTACTTCTGTAATTGTCTCTGCTCATGGAAAGATCTCAAAAGAGGTTGTGAGCAGCAGGGGGTGTGGAAGGGAGACGATGCTCTTGCCTTGCCATCAGGCAGATTTTCTTGTTACCTCTCTCTTTTTTCAAATCTCACACATGTCCCACCTACTTAAAGCCAGGTTTCCCAAAGTGTGGGCCACTGGGCAGGATGGTTTAAGGTAGCACATAGACCCAGCATTAAATAACATTAAGTCTCCTGGTGAGATTGCTGTTTATGTTTTCATTTTCTTTCAAGTCACTGATTACATAAAGAAGAAAGTCTCTGGTGTTAATAAGGTTTTGTCATCTCATATTTACTAATCTTCCCTTTTTAATAAGGAAAGGACAGGCCTGAAGTGGAGAGCCTTCAGCAAGCCACAACATCTAGTTGGACTTTTAAACATTATTATGTTATCATTGTATTAATTTACAAGAAGGGAAACTGGCTTTTCTTTTTTCTTTTTTTAAGTTTTTTTCTTTTTTCTTTTTTCTTTATTTTGAGAGAGACAGAGACAGCACGAGTAGGGGAGTCAGGGAGAGAGAGGGAGAGAGAGGATCCCAAGCAGGCTGTGTACCATCAACATGGAGCCCAATACGGGGCTCAAACCCACAAAGCCATTAGATCATGACCTGAGCCAAAACCAAGAGTCAGAAGCTCAACCAACTGAGCCACCCAGGTGCCCCTGGAAAACTGGATTTTCATTTAGGGTAATGATCTAAAATTTCTGATGGGGAGGAAAATGAAATGTGAGAGAGTCTAATCGTGCTTTAAAGTAAGAAGCTATTAGCAAAGAAGCACAGGGGTGTACTCAAAGGCAAAACTGGAAGTATGAGGACAGGGAAAAGCAGGTCAGTGAAACACCAATCAGCATCACGTAACATCATTTTGATCATAGAAGCATAATTTACACACGCTTGGAAGCGATAAGCAGTGGGGAAAACCAAGGAAGAACTATGTGCTGAGCAGTGTCTCCCAGGATGGCAAATGTGTGACAAGGACATTAAGGTCAAGGAACAGTAGGCACAGCCCTAATATAGCTCCTGGGTAACACTGTCTCTAGCGAGGTCCTTGCCTGGAACCTGGGTGGAGTAAGGGAGGGAGTAAAGGAAAGAGGGGGTTTGGGTTTTGAAAAATAAAAATAAACCCCAAGCCTGCCCAATACTGGGGGGAGTTTCTGCACGCATGTTACGCTCCCACTGACTGTGGGGGACAGTGCAGAAAGTAAAGACCTACGTTAGTATTCACAATGCATCACCTGTCCTTTCATTGCATTTCTAGAGCCTAGACAAAGGCCCAAACCCTGACTTCTGGTCAGCTGGGTGACTTGGCCCAGACGGACCAATTGCAGGCTATTGCTTATATCATCTTCCTGCCTTTACTGTGGACAGTGAACCAGCAAGTCAGCAGTTTCTTTCAAAGCACATTTATTTGAACAGATCTTTGTACACACGTGTTCAGAGCATCATTATTCAAACAGCCAAAAGGTGGAGTAACACAAGTGTCCGTGGATGGCTGAAGTGGTAAACAAAATGTGACATACGTATACCATGGAATACTATTCATCCTTGAGAAGAAAGGAAATTCTGACACATGCTATTACATGGGGGACTTTGAAAATGTCATGCGAAGTGAAATATGCCAGATACAAAAGGACACATATTGCGTAATTGTATGAGGTATTCTAGAAGAGTAGAAATCATAGTGACAGAAAGTAGAATAGTGGTTACCAGGGGCGGGGGCCGGGGGGCGATGGGGAATTGCTTAATGGGTTCAAAGCTTCGATTGGGGAAGATGAAAAAGTTCTGGAGATGGAAAGAGGTAATGGCTGTACAACACTATGAATGTACTTAATACTACTGGATCGTACACTTAAAAATGACTTAAAGGATTTTTTAAAGAAGCTAAAATGAGGGGCGCCTGGGTGGCTCAGTTGGTTGAGTGTCTGACTTTGGCTCAGGTCATGATCTTGTGAGTTCAAGCCCCTCGTTGGGCTCTGTGCTGACAGCTCGGAGCCTAGAGTCTGCTTTGGATTCTTTGTCTCCCTCTCTCTCTGCCCCTCCCCCACCTGTGCTCAATCTCTCTCTCAAAAATAAATAAACATTTAAAAAAAAGTGGTAAAACGATTAAGTTGGAAGATTCCAGGGAGTACCTGCTTGTGGAGAAAGTGTGATGGTGTGTGCCATATCTCTCTGGGGTTCCTCACCCACACCCCAGGCATTCTCCACCCTTCTCTGTCCTGCTTTATGCCCTGGGTCACATCAACATGCTTCTTGCCTTCTGGCTTCTGCTTGGAGTCATTCATTGGGGAGCACTAGCAGGAGATGAGGGCAGAAAGAAGAGTGAGATTGGAGAATCTATTTCCTCAGTTCCCTCCCTACAGGATTGCTGTCCGGGTGACCATGTCCCTTGACTGAAGGTCTGGCAGCCCCTGTCAGTCTTGGGATTCCAGTGCTCTCTCCTCTTGCCTCTTCAGACCTAGGGCAGGATGAGCTAACTCAGCCCCTAGCCCGAGGGAACAGCACCATCCCTTCTGGTTTTCCCACTTCCTACTAAGACCTTTGTAAATAGTCCTTTTATTAAATTCTCCTCAAAGTACCCTGTTAGAGCAAATCATCTGTTTCTTGCTGGACTATGGCTGTATACAAGGTAACTTACAACAAAGTTCGGGAAACACTGACCCAAAGAAAATTCATCTATATTCCCCAAAGATCTCTCTGATTCCCTAAACCTTCCAGATATCAAGAGAAGGCAATGGTAAGGAATGGTGAATGGTGCCATCTTTTTCCCAGCCCTCCATCCCCTCTCCTGTTCCAAGCACTTCTTCTCAATTGCTATTTTAATACAGAGAATTCAGCGCCTATTGTTTTCTCCATCCTATAGAAAATCACATTTCTATACATCACAGAATTCCATTCCAATAAAACAATGAAATCATTCAGATATTCCATGGTGTTTTATTATTTTTTTTAAAAAAAAAAACATTGTTCCTGTGAATGTTTCCATTGAATCCTAGGCACAGATGTTCAAGGATATGGGGCAATTGCAGTTAATATGCAGTTAAGTAGGAATAGAAAAGCTGAAGCGGTATTTTTGTAAGGCTGTTCAAATTGGTAACAGAGACAAAGCTCTGATAGAATGAGTTATCTCTCCCCTCTAAGGTGGCTATTATGGGGAAAATAACCACGAGTTTGCCTTCTTTCTAGTAGTAATGGCCTAGAGTAAGTTGAACATAGCTCCCCGACCTCTGAAATCCAGGGAGATGCATCCTGCCCAGGCTTATACTATACACACTTTAGTTTCAGGTCATGAGAAACGGTCACACTCGCTTGTAAGTTCACTGGCTCAGGTAAGCAGACAGTCTGTTTGCTGCAAAAGAAGAGCAACAAGAAGGTATGCGCTCAGGGCAGGTCCCCGATTGCTCAGGAAAGAGGGCTAGGAGTTGTGTGCTCTTGTGTTACCATGATGTCAGATGAAAGAAGCCTATAGCTGTCTATTATAGGAGTCTACTACTCCTGTCCTCCAAGTGCCCAGGGGTGGTAAGACTAATATAAATTTGTGCTAGAGGCACAGGTGGATCCACAGCTGTGAATGTGACCAGTGGAGACTAAGGAGGAGGAACTATGCAATGAGAAGTCTTTGTTTCAATAAATCGTATGTAGAAACTGAATAAGACATATATAAAATAGATTTTAGATGTATATATAAAATTATTCAGCTGTATATCAGATAAAATGAAGTTTCTTATATTGAAGTAGGAATGGGAAATTGAAGCCTACCCTCTTTGGCTTTTGAACACCTCCAACCCAAGATGGCCCCATAGGAAATTCAAGAAAACCCTAAGTCTTTGTCATTTCTGTTGAAGAAGCTAATCTCTGTGATGAGACTGTACCTCAACAAATGTCACATCTCAGGTCAGGATTGGTCCTTGTGGGTATGTATGGGGCAGGTGTGGATTCTGGGCTTACTTGTCATTGACTGGCAAAGGAGCAGTGCAGAACTTTCCAGCAATAGTAGTCCTGTCTTTTTTCCAAACTAGGTTGGAAGAATGAAACTTGAATTTCACTTGGTTTATCTGGCACTGTGCGTTGGTGTGAGCTATGATTCCTCTCCCCTGGAGTTGCTGTCTAGGTCTGCAAGGGAAAGGGAAATTAAGTTATTGAAGCACTTTTGGCCTTTGCTTCCCCTTGGCTCCTATGGGGTTCCGCTGGTAGCATTGGTTAGCTTTCATGCACAAAAGAACTCCTTGAAGGTGGGGACCGCGATCCTTTGTATCACACTAACCAGTCCCTTTGCACATATACTCACAGCTTTGAACATGGCTCAGAAAATAGTTGTTGATTTTTAAAAATATTTTTTAATGTTCATTTATTCATTTTGAGAGAGAGAAAGAGAGAGAGAGCATGAGCTGGGGAGGGGCAGAGAGAGGGAGAGAGAGAATTCCAAGCAGGTTCCACACTGTCTGTGCAGAGCATAACTCAGGGCTTGAACTCATGAACCATGAGAGCATGACCTGAGCTGAAATCAAGAGCCAGAGGCTTAACCAACTGAGCCATCCAAACGCCCCTAGTTTTTTTTTTCTTTTGAGGAAGATTCTGTACAACTTTAAAAGCTGTTCCTTTTTTTTTTTTTTTTAATTTTAGAAGTGTTTTGAAATACTTCAGAGGAAAAAAATAAGGTTTTTCCCTTTAAGAAGCTGCATGAATGGAGGAGCTTGCAAGCTAACAGGGTATGAAGGATGCTATGAGTAAGTGGCCGAAAGACCTGGTTTGGGTAAATTTTCTAATTAGAAGGAAACCTTGGGATTTCACAAAGCTATAGAAAGTAGACTCACACACAAAGCTATAGAAAGTAGACTCACACATAAACTCTCCCCAGCCCCGCCTTTTTCAATTTCTATTCTGCAAGAGAGAAAAAAACCAACAAACAAGGAACTGAAGATAACCATGTTCTGATAGTCTTCTTCAAAAGAGTAATGCAAATTGTTTTGGGGAGAAGAAGAATCTGTAGATACCTATTCCAATCACTCAGGGAGGATTTAAAAGTGTAGTGGTTGAGGGGCGCCTGGGTGGCTCAGTCAGTTAAGAGTCCGGCTTCAGCTCAGCTCATGATCTCATGCTCTGTGAGTTCGAGTCCCACATCGGGCTCTATGCTAACAGCTCAGAATCTGGAGCCTGCCTTGGATTCTGTGTCTCCTTCTCTCTCTGTCCCTTCCCCACTCGTGCTGTGTCTCTATCTCTCAAAAATAAGTAAACATTAAAAAAAAAGTGTAGTGGTTAAGGCTATGCCCAGAGATTCTGCTGCAATTGGCCTGGGGCAGGGTTTGGGGGTCAGTGGTGTTTAATGCTTTCCAGGTGATTCTAATGAGTGGCCACTTATGTGTCATTGTCAGGACTCTTGCCAATGTTGGCTCATTTACCCATGCAACCAAGAGGCAATGAAAACACCTTGTGGAAATAATGTGACCTTGAACTGATGTAGTGAAAATTATTCAGCTATAATCTGCAAGACTAACGTGGGCACCTGAAAATCTGTGTTGGGGTCCTGATTGCCTGTGGGACTTCTCTCTGGCCTGTGTGAGCTGGAGCCCTGTCTGTGTGAGCTGGAGCCCTGGCTGGTGGCAGGGTGTTTGGGAATCCAGAAATGTGCTCCTCTCAGTGGAAACTTGTCTTCCCTGGTAGTGCAATTAACCTCCAATACTGCAGCCTGAGAAATATTTCCAAACTCCAATCTGATCCGGTCACTCTCCTGCTTCAAATTCCCAGTGGCTCCCCAAACTGCTCTCAGGATAAAAATAAAAATCCCTAACCTGTCCTTCAATGCCTGGCACAGTCTGGCCCTCAGCTGCAACCCCTGCTCTTTCCTTCTCCAATGCCTCACCCCCTGCTCTCCACTCCCTGTGCCATATTCTCACTAACCCCTGGCCTGGGTAACTCCTGTGAATCACTACTCAAATGTCAATTCAAACACTCCTCAAACATCACCTTCTCACACTTGGTCAGGCTCTGTCTCAGTTGTCCTCATGGCACCTGCCACTGTGGACAATTGTACATTTCTGTGCACACGCACTGGTCATTTCCGTGTTTGTGCTTCATGCATTCCCCTGCCAACCACACTTCTCAGGCTCCCCTGCCAGCAGGTTCCAGTGAGGTCTAACTTGCAGGAGGCACGCACAGTGGGGAGACAGCTTTGGACTGTGATGCCAGAGGGTATATATTTCCTGCTTGCTTCCAGATCCTGCTGGTATTCTACAAACACCTCTGGGCTTTCTTCCTCCAACCCCATAGGCGGAGTGGCCTCTGTTGCTGATCTCTGCAGTGCCTCATGCTCCTTTTGGGTTTCCAGCCCTCCCAACACATTTGTAATTAGTTCCCTGGGTTGAAGTCCCTCTGTTGGACTCCCAGCTTGGACTCTGGTTTCTGGACTGTACCCTGACCAAGACAGTTACTTCTCTGATTAGACTGGCTCCTGCTGGCTTGGGAG